AATCGGACATTTCTCAGACATAAATCGAGACATGTTGGTTAGTTTGTTGCAGAGTAGCAAATTAAAGTGCCCTAAAAGGTGTACAGTTCGTAGGAATTATTATTAATATACCTTGTGTAATTAGTGAAATAAAATACCACCACTGGTTGATATACCTAGGTTAACTTTCTTATAGTGGTTACTTGTATAGTGATTTTCATGTCCTTTGTCTTGTGAATTGGAATTGGGATGTTGCAGACATTTTTTTCGGTATTCTATAAATAACCAATATAATGCAAGTAATCTCTTAATGAATGTTTTACCTTTTACCTCTAATCTCATTTTACAGTATTACTACTTCCTAAATCATTGACGTGAACATTTTTATTTTATCAATAAGCTGAATTGGTGGCTGGGTCTGTTTGAAGGTAATTAGGACTATCATTGCACTTATTCATAAGTGTGCTAAGAATAAATGTGATAAATGAATCACAGCTTCAGTTCAACGTATTATACAAGACTTGGCCGCCCAGCAAATAGCGCAGTTGCCGGGTACAGCGACAGCCCATGCGCACTAGGCTATGGAAACTTTCATTAATTAAACATCAGTTACGACTTCAAGTGACCCACTAGAAGCCAGAGTGAAAAAACACGGCGTGATTAACAAAGTTGCCCCATTTAGTTAAGGGTTTAAGAGGCACAAGGATTATAGTTGGCAATTTATATATATACATCGACGAGTTCAGTATCTAGCATCGTATTAAGTGACAGTGGCGCCCAGTTTTACCGGGAGGCAGTCGGCAACGGCCACCTCTGTGATAAGATTAGGGAGACTGGCAGACATGAGACGAAGGGATATAGGGAGAGTTGGGGGAGGAAATGTATGACAAAATACTTTGTGCTAGTTTTCCACGAGAGGTTATTTGGTAAAATTGAGAAACATGCCGGTGGAGTCGAAATGTTAAATTGGATTTGGGCATAATATAAAGAGGCCCTCGGCATATGTGGGGTGAAGTCTGAGGAAGTTGCATATATATAATGCTGTCCTAGAATCTTTTTACTTTATATAAATCAATATTATTGATATTGACAAATATCAATAAAAGTAAAAAAAATTGCATATGATGAAGCCATTATCATTTCAAAACGCTGGAAAACTAGGAATCTTGATTTGATAAGGTTTGATAATGGCATTTTGGAAGTAAAGATTAGTAAAAAACTTTAAACCATCATAACCGTATATTAATGAATTCAATAAAGCCAGTTGCCTACTTGATTTTTAGAAGTTATCAACTTCGAACAGTTATCTTTCAACAAATCATTCTATTTGTATACGATACGATGACAGAACTAAGTGTAGCCTGCGCCATGTATTTCATATAAATAAGATTGAGATTCTTAATAGCACAAGAAATTAAAGAAAATCATGGATTACTGTAAGCTATTGTATAGCAGTGTATAAAAAGGATATCCTGGCTCGCCCTCAGTGAGCATATTTCCTACAGCCACGTGGTCAGCAAGGCGCATGGAGCCAGAGGCTGGAGGAAAACATTGATTTTGCAACGTAAGCAAACGTATATCTGCTATTGTTTGAAATTCCATGCCATGCATTTTCAAAGTACGCCTAATCTATCCTAAAAAGCCTGGAATATGCGAGGATATATTTACTGGTCAAAAATTCCATAATAAGCACAATGAGCATCTTCATGTGTGTAACAGAGCATGCTAATTAAGTAGTGCGCACCAGCTTAGGCACCCCTGGTCGTTCTTTTATTTCCATAATCTCCAGTTTTCGTTATTGAAAGTTTCACCTGTTGATCACAAGCTGATAACTATTCAAGTTGCAAAGCTTTATTCATAAGCCTGTTTCCAAACCACGGCAGTTCGGGGAAGTGTGATTAGATCACAGCAATACTAATTGCATTATGGCATGTTCGATTGAGCAGGTAATCAAATGCCTGAAATACCACAATTTACATTTATATACATAGAATCTTTTCTGTGTACATACTAAGATCCTGAGCTTAACACGATAAAGGATATTCCAATTTCCAGAAATGCAAAGATAAATAGTAAGAGGCAAACGGATAAAAGGAAATTAATACTAGTATGGGCAATGCCTGCTATATTATCAAATATACAATAATAAACTCGGCCCACAGATTACATATCCACAAGCACAGTTCCGGGACGTGTCTGGATGGAACTCTGAAAGCAAAGCACGTATAAGGGACCCGATCTCTACAGCATTTAGGTTATTAAGCAGCAAATGCTTGCTCTTCAGTAGTTCCTGAATGATGATGATGTCTAAAAATAGCCGTGGCCTTTTACTATCTTAGCCGACTGATTTGCTTGTGTGAATACCCGCCGTCATTCGTTATATTTCCTCAGCATCATGGAGTAATCGCGGAGATAGTGATTTGCGATTAGCGAATACATATAAAAGAAGTAATGCTGATTACTTGCTGAATGAACAAATCTTTGACAATCATTATGTAAAGTATGGGGTAGGTGACATAAAACCAGACGGCAAATTCCAATGAGTGAGGATGAGCTTCAAGGATTCATTCATCTTGAGCGTTTCTTCCCTGCGCATCTTATCTAGGACCAGCAGGTCCTATATAATTCACAGCCTTGTAAACGGTTAAATAACTGTAATCATCAATATGTCTAGATAGTCACGAAAGAATTTAGTTCTGTCAGTTAACAGGTGGCTCTTGGAGTGATACGCACCATGTTCCCAAGCCCATCCTTCCAAAAGGATAGTCCTTACAGCAACTACAGGACCGTTCAAAAATAAACTGTTGTACCCACAAATTTAAGTTTGTATTATTGGAATATACCAAACTGCATACCAGGAAGTGGAAAGGTATTTAGGCAGCCTAACCTGTCCTAGGAGTCAATAAGCAATGCTAGGACTTTTACACATCTTTGGCCTAATTACGTACATAATTTTTTTGGGTACCCGGCAGTGCTCGGGTTTCCTCTTCCTCCCCCCCCCTCCCACTTTCCCTACTTGGGTGCATTTACAAAATCAACTGTCAGAGTAAGAGAGACAAATATATGTGTATAAAGTATAAAGCTGATCAGAATTACATTTCACCATTATAAATTCACATTAATGCATTCATAAATCTGTGTATCTATGTATTTACGTATGTAGGTTAGCCTAACATTTTAAAAGCACTGCGATCACCTTCTGTGGTTGTTCAATAAATCTCTGAACTGTATGTTGACAAATCTCTCACCCTGTCCATGGAGGACAGAAGAAAATGTATATATGCTAGTTAGCATTGTAAATGTGTGGCCACGTCTGTGGCAGAAAATAATAATATAAAAAAAACTTTCCCTACTTCCTCCTCCTCTCGGAACAAGCGTAAGTATGCATCACTAATCCCGACGCCCTCTCAAAATAGGGAATGAATGTTGAAATTTAATGGTCATTAATAAGAGCAATATTTTTTAATTTGTGTTGGTAGGGGGTAGTTCTGTTAAGATTGGGGTTGACTTGCGACACTGACCAAAACATGTTGCGACATGAGGGCCCCAGCCAGGAGCCCCCCCCCCAGGCAGAAGGGCCCCCTAGCCAGGAGGGGCCCCATAGCCAGGAGGGCCCCTCCCCCCAGCCAGGAGGGCCCCTCCCCCCAGCCAGGAGGGCCCCTCCCCCCAGCCAGGAGGGCCCCTCCCCCCAGCCAGGAGGGCCCCTCCCCCCAGCCAGGAGGGCCCCTCCCCCCAGCCAGGAGGGCCCCTCCCCCCAGCCAGGAGGGCCCCCCCCCCCAGCCAGGAGGGCCCCCCCCCCCAGCCAGGAGGGCCCCCTCCCCCCAGCCAGGAGGGCCCCTCCCCCCAGCCAGGAGGGCCCCTCCCCCCAGCCAGGAGGCCCCCCCCCAGCCAGGAGGGCCCCAGCAGGTGACGCGCTCGTGTGCCGACAGGTGTATCGGCCATGGTGTCTTGGTTATGCTTACTGAGTGGGCCCCTCCTCCCCTCACGTCAGGGGTGCAACGTGTAACATCCAGCAAGTTAACCCAATAACAGTCATGTGAGGTTTATGCATGTGCAAAGGAAGAAATGTACATGTTTAACATTCAGAATGTTCGGTTATGTGCTTATTATTTGTGGTTGTGAGTGTGTGTGTAATATGAACACGTACTGAACAGGGTGAGAATAGCTTGAGCTACCTCATCCCGTTGTGTATTTGACTCAATAAACTTAATTAAATTAAATTTCAATGAGGTTCACGGCCGTCTACATACGGCCGTAAATAGATTTTAATAGAGATGAAATGCACCAAACACGTGCATTGCAAATAGTGCTGTGACGTTCAAACCGTTCACTCTAGTGCAACAATTGCCACGGTTGACTTTCAATTGTGACGCAGAATGTAATACATTATGTTAAGACGGTAGTATTTGCATTTCAACTGGCAGTTGCAACTTGCCAACGTACAAAAGCTGGTTAGAGTTGGAACAAACAGTTCAATGTGTTCATGACAACTAAATGTGGCGGCAGGGTAAATGGAAAAATAGTGAGCAGTGTTGTGAGCGTGACGTGGATCTGAGGCTGAAGGCTGCATTGGGCGGGGGGAAGGGAGGGGGGAATATTGGGTAGGGGGTAATCCTGGGGCAGGGGGGGGCGGGGGCTGGGGGAAGGAGTTTTTTGAGGTGTTAGTGGGAATGGATGGGACTGGAGGGTCTGAGGTGCTGGCAGGAATGGGGGGGTTGTGAGGTGCTGGTGGGAACGGAGGAGGTGAAGTGAAACCGTTCTGGTAGAGGGGGAGGAAATTGGACAAATGATGCTTTGTGTTGCGGGGGGAGATTGGAAAGGAAATTATATGGGTAAAATTGGTTTAAGTAGTTTCGTTTGGAAGAGGTGTACATGCCTATCAGTGATTACATACTGTTAACTAAGTCACTGGGTAGTTTCGTTCCTGCCCTCTAAGGCGGGTGGGGGAGGTTTGCTGTGTGTGTGTGTGGGGGGGGGGGGGGGGGGGGAATGGGTGGCGGTGCGGGTTTAGCAGCCAGTGTGGCTCCAGACCTGCGTGGGAGTGGACTGTACAGCGTGGCTCGCCGTCTGACACTGGGTCCACACACAGGGGACGTGGCACAACAAACTCACTCCTATTAAAGAGTTAAACGACTCTCCGACAGATTTGTTCCAACCAGTGCACCTTGCCGACAGTTACCCGGGACGAGGGTGTGTGGTGATCGGTGAAGACGTGCCAGCATATGGATTAGCAATTAAAAACTGACATACGTGTAAATAAAGACATATCACAAGGAGTCGGTGAATTACGTAAGAAGGAAAAAAAAGAATGACATATGTGACTTCGTTTCTGCTAAGTGCTTAAGTTGCAACAATATCATTCCTGGTTAACTAGTGTTTAGGTAAGTAACCTAAATATTTCACTCCTATCTTTGTGCATGGTTACAAAATTTGCATGACGAAATCTGTGAAGTGTAATATTAGCTACACTTGGCAAGTACTCGCTTCTCTTCAATAAGGTGAAATTTCTTGTGCAAATAAGTGACTTTTAGCATTTATACAATGCATTCACATTGTCAATTCAGGTCAGCGATCGATGATTGCTGTTGATGGCCTTCATTAGTGTCAGACCCCACCACACTGATAGTAAGTAGTCAGCGCGCCTCTGTCCCAAGTTTAAAATCGGTTGTGGGAATTAAAATATGTTGGCAAGTGTCACGCCCTATGGATGTGGGCAAATGACTGGGCTGAACTAGGCCGGGCTACACTAGGCTGGGCCGGCCTACACTAGGCTGGGCCGGCCTACACTAGGCTGGGCCGGGCCGGGCTGGGCTGGTCTGAGATTTGTCTTTAATGTGTATATTCCAAGAACATGTTCATAATGAGAGTTCGGAGAAGAGGAATGATTGCTGACGATATTATATACTTGGAAATGTTCGTCTGCTTTGAAGATGTTCTTGGCTGAAATTTTGTTGTACTATCAGTCTGTTGACCAGATGTTGTGTTAAGAAGGAAACATTTGTATTTAACGGTATGCTAAACCTGCAGTCTGGCATTGAAGACTGTTGTCTTTGTTGTAACGCTCTTGGCAACATTACGTAAGATTTTTTTTTTTTTTACTTTGTTCAGTAACTATGAAAAACCTAATTTCACCCTAAGGATATCCCCTTCATCGCTGATTAGTCTTCCGTTCATCCACACATCGGCTAGTTTAGTTGAATCATGCTGTTCAGTGATTAACGTCGTCTGGGGTTTCTCGGCAGCAAATGTAACAATAAAAAACAATAAGCAGATTTGACAGTTTTGTCGCGTGTACCATACAATTAGGTACTGACATTCCATGTACAATTTTACCTACTTACGAATAATAACCTAGATAGATCAGGTATTGTGACAATGATGGTTCTGCTATTCGTTCTCCACACAGGACTTGGGTTGATGTGCAGTAGATGCTGTCTGTGTAATAGGATTTAAAAATTGTAATATGGAAAAGCAGATTTAGGATAAAAATGTTAGGATGCCTTCGAAGATGCCAGGTTCAATTAAAGAATTATTTAGGCCTAGTTAGTAATATTCCAACCCATCCTTCCAGAATGACAGTACTTTAGTTTACTATTTAGTCATATTTGGTACCAATGTTGTGATGAACTACCAGTAAACCACTTTTTGTACTAATAAGTTTATAGAATCTGGAGGAAATAAAGCTAAAAACCAAACTTAAATATTCCTAGGCCTTGGATTGGTAGGAGAGGTTAGGTCCTTTGTTACGGTTAAAAAAAAAATCTAAAATCAGTAATACAAGTCAACTTTCTGATGATCCTCCATCACATGTGACTATTTGGTAGAAAGTAACAGTAGGTACTTTAATTGTAAGAGGAGGATATTCTGGTAGTGGCACAAACCCAGTGACTTACCAGTCAAGTCTAATTCTGATAACTGGTCTTTGGCCCGTACTATCACAGCCGGACCGATTACTCCACCTTACAAATGACTATAATCACGATTTTTCAGATCTTGATGCTACAGCTTAAAGGTCTTTTGAAATTTAAGTTAGTTTAAATTCTATTTAATGTTATTTATTTGAATGATTGAGAAATGCATTTGATAATAATGTTAAGTTGCTTGCGTTAGTGAAAAATTCATTGGCTTTAAAATCATGCTTTAGAACTCGACATGGGATGACGGGACGACAACCCGTCCTCTTAAAAATAACGTCGCTTTTCGCTCGTATGTGCGCTATGGAAAAAAATGGACGCAATTTGAAATTAAATCTGTTCACGAAAGTGATGTCCCGTTTTCTGTTTGACTTCTTTCTTACTCGGTTAGATTAGGAGAGTAAACTTTGAAAGGTTTTCATGACGTTTTGAAACCTTGGGAGAATTTCCTGCCCTCCTAACCTATCATAACTTACCGTTTTGGAAAAAAACAAAATCCAAAATTTTTCAATTTTTTTTTTTTTAATTTTCAAATTACGTCCACTTTCGGCCATATGGGCAAACGGTCAAATTCATACGTAATTTGCAAGAGGACAGGGTTGCCACACATTTAATACATATGTTATAGTTGAAAATTATCTTTGATCATTCCAGTCTACTTCAGACTTGACTAATTATTTAAGGACTGCAGTGCCAATTGACGCACTTGACCATTATTTACGATATTCATTGGAAATGTATAAAAGCACTAGCTTAGTTTGTGCTTGCCCAGTCATTTGAGTTGGCATACTCGACAGTTTATTTTTCTTTGTTGCAGAGCACAATTTCCCTTACTGTGCTTGCTTTTATAACCATAAACAAAGGCATGTCATTCACTTTATGAAATATCTGCCAATTCTTTAAAAATTTAGGCTTAGCATACCAGTTTTCTTAGAATTAGACGAACGTATTTGTAGGCTTAGATTATATCTTTCCGGGGAATGATAGTTATGAATTTAAATTCTTAATTTTCTTATTATTGACAACTACTGAGCCACACTGTAGGGAGTGTTCAATGAATATCTGATTGAGCAGTTAAGTGTTAAGAATGGATAATAATTTAATTTGAAAGGGTTGAAGGCAATGTTTACTAAAGTTTAACCGACCGCATAGCGTTAGACTAAATGTTTCTGATATAAGAAAGATTAATCTTTGATGCGTATTTTTACAATGTTGATAGTAGAAGGACAATAAAGCACAATGCACACATGACTTCATTTTATTCATTTAGGTTTTGTAAATTGTTCAGGAGAAATTAACAAGAGGCATCATAATTAAACTGATCGTATCCTATGTAGGCCAGGTTAAAAATATGAATATATTTTAGTTGTTAAAAATCGGTTACTAACGTGAGGTTTGAGGTTCAAGTCGCTCAGAACTTTTTGCGAAAGTTGTTTGAGATTTTCATAAATTGACTAATACGAAAATTTTGGCCTGTACGGTTCGTTTTTTGTTCCCAAGGGCATTTCCTTTATATAGTTATTAGCGAAGAAAACCTAACCGCAATTCTGTAAGCTGTACTGGCATAGGCCCAATATTGTTAGGAAGCTTGTGCATCAGTGTTAAAGCATAGGATATGGTCCTAATTAGCCATCTTGGTATGGCTATTAAAGTGCATTCATAGATACTTTTGACACTCCTAAATGGAACACTAGCATACCTGTTTGATAAGTAATTATTAATCTTATCCATCTCGGGATACTATTTTAATGAAAAAATCTGTAAACGTTTAAACTTCGGCTAGATCGAAACTAACTTAATAAAGTAATTTTTTACTTAAAGCGAGTGCCATATTGTGGGAGTGTAAGAAGTATTCTGCAACACACACAAATCACAATTGCGTGATGCATCAAATGAACAAAACCATATTATTTTACCATGTCGTAGCTCAGTTGATTAAGGCAGCGTCTGGGAAGCTCTCGGACGCAGGTTCGAATCCTCGTCACGGCCCTGTGGATTTGTTAGTATTCTGCAAAACACGCTTGTGTACTGAACGACTACATTTAGACAAACACAGATTAGTCGGTTCATCTTTGACTAGGAACACGAGACGGTTGAGACAATTTTCTTTTTGCAAAGATTTTACGCATGCAAGATGCTAGAGGAGTCAATATTTTGAAGATGTAGTTATAGCCTAGGAAGTGGTACTATGAGATTATGTAAAGTTTGAACTTGGAGGAGTTTAAGGATTGTACGATTTATTCACGCTTCAATTCCCCAGCCATCTTGTGGAATTGTTGGGAAAACCCCGGAGTTCCCCACAAGACATTTGTTCTTCAGACACTTCAAGAACCGTCTGTGAATCTTTATTTTCAACTGTTTTTCGTAAAATTATTTTCAGTGAAGTTGAAAGCAATTATAATCTAGACACCAGTGATTCTTCCTGATTTCTTTTTAGTTACGTTTTCGGTATTTTGGTCATTTTCTCGGTTGCGTGCCAAAATATAAATGTGAAGACAGTGTTTAAAAAAAAAAAAGAATTTTAATTAAAACCGTTTGTTGGATAATATGTAAATGCAAAATAAAAATTGCCAACTCCAAACTGGCTGCTCGGTGTTGTCCAAGTTTTTTTTTTGTCTAATGCACAGTAATGTCTAAGGATTTTTTGGGTTGGTAATCGACGAAGCCATTAGCTAGGGTGTCAGGTGGGTTGGAGAAGGCGGCAGTGGTGGCGCTGCTGCTTGAATGCGACCAATGGAAGTTGGTTATTATTATTATCTTTATTGACAAAATTAATTACAATTTATCAAAAGCCTCAGATTAGGCAAGTCTTATTAAAGTGAGGATAATGCTGGTATTCACTGTCACGCAGGACAGAGGGTCATACATAAGACAATAGGTCTAAACTGTAGGCTGAAGCACATATATATATCATGGTTACAAGCAATGTTTTAATGTATGGATGTCGGGCGGAGATTGAGTGCATCAGGGCACACCTGATGACAGTTGCATATGGCTTGTGAAGCATCTCTTTTTGGCTAAATGATTCCCGGCTTGGTGCCTTCTCTTGATAATTACTCACTTTTGGCTAAATGATACAGGACAGTGTTTATAAGGCAACGAGCTTGTTCACGTGTCATTTCTCTTCGAATTTGAATTAAATTTGCTAATGCAAGACTACCATCAGTAAAAAGTTGCCCCAACTATCTAGCTACCTTTTAACTATGTAAAACTCTGTAGTGATTTGTTCTTCTTATTCCCCCCCCATCCCCCTAAGGCTTCACACCCAACTGTGTCTTCTGGTAAAAAAGTAGGGTCAGGAAGGCTGCCCTGAATCCAAGAGACCTACCTGCATTGGCGGTGTTCTGGTACCAAGTGTGTTAGGACTGTCAGTAGTATTTAGGATGGTGCAGGTTTCGTGTTCTCCAGGGCCTGCATTTGCGTGTTTTAGCAAACTATCAAACCAAAGATTTAAGATTTCATTCCAT